GGGCTGGGAGGAGAGAGAAGTGCAGCAACGAATGAATGGAAATCCAAAATCTCTGTAAATGCTCATTAAAATTATTTTTTAAAAAAGAATACACTATTTCACCAGCGTTAAACGAATCATATTATCAATCATTATTTCTATGTCAAAACAAGTGTGAGGGAAATGGTGGAGGTAGAGATAACATGGAAAAGAGAAACTGAGTTATTCACTGTGCCTCCCTTTTACAGAGAGTCAATGTGACTACTACAAAAAAAAAAAAGGACTCCATTCTTCTAAAGAAGCGATGGTTTACCTCAAAATGGCACTGGATTGAAATCAAGCTGTATCTGAAAAAGTCAAGTCAGTAGAAATTCTTCTAAGTGCCCATGCCTCACAATTTGAAGTATTTGCTGCCCACCCCCCCATTTCTCCATTCTCCATTTGATTCTTCTGTAGCCATCAGAGGTCTGTTACCCATGAACAAGGTAAGCACCAGCTAACTTGTACTTACATACTAATCTGCTGTGAACAGAGTAGATGCAAACCTCAGATTAAGTGGAGGAAAAGCATAAGCAGGGCCGGTCTTGACCTTGCTGACTTGATCTCAACATTTGTCAGGGATTATAAATTAGAAAAGAGCCCTCAATTCTGCAGAAAAGAGCTGTGGATTCGAGAGAGACAGAGGCCCGCCATACCTAGAAGCAGAACATTTGATGTGGTGAGGGAAAAGCGGGAATGTTCACTACAGAGTAATAACTCCCCTCAAGTAAACACGCGCTTGCTTTGCTTGTTGGATAATCTGAGACTGACTTTGCTTGATGGGCACGGTGCTCACACTAACATTGAGGTTCCAAGCCTGCAGTTTAAGGTGTTTGCTGTGGGTTCTAGGGACCAACTTTGGCCTTGCTGGGCCCTGGTTTTCTGCAGTCAAGTTGGGATTTCTGGCCAGCTGGCAGCAAGCAGCACAGCACAAGAAAGAAAGAGCCACAGCGCCTCAAGTGCATTAAATAGTCATATTAGCCCGCCCTCCCTGGCTTGGTAAACCTTCATGTTGGCTTTGTGCTCTTTTTCCCCAAGCATGACAAACAAGTGGGGTTTTTCTTTTTTCACTTTAATGGCTCTGTCAACAAAAAAAGGGGGTAGTTTAAGGCTTTCTCCGAGGCTGGATAGGTGTTTCTGTTTAATGAGGTTTTTATTATACTGTATTGGCGTGTCTGAAAAGAAACGACGAACAGACGAAACAGAATGAGAAGAAACAATAACCAAGGGGAGGGGGGAGGAATTAGCGTGGCTGCAGATGCACGCGTCGCGGTGCCACCTCCAGCCCGCCTGCGCCGCGCATTGTGTGTGCACTAAAGCGCACGTGGGCGCTCGGCGCCCGTTCTGGGTGCGCGCAGATAGGACCGAGACGGAGGCTCGGCTCCACTGCCATCTGCGGAGGAAGAAGGGTGCTGAGCGCAGCCCAGACAAAGATGAGGGACGCTCAGAGTGCGGGGGTTTTACAAGGGCTGGTCGGTTACCATGGAAACTAATTGGCGCTAATAAGTAAAGGGACATTTTAACTGTGGGAACAGAATAGGAGGGGTTATTTTTCCAATATCCCCGTTACAATTAATCTTTCATTTGGGGAGTGTCCTGGTTTAATTCCTGCCGTGTATGTAATCTATTCTCTCCGCTGTTGAGTTTTATCTGTGCACATCCTGACCTCGCTCAGAGTCTCTTGAAAATGCTGAATCTCTTCTTTGGGAATGCGCTGCGTTTTAGGTTGAGATCTTTCAAGACAGAATCAATTTCACTTTTTCTTCCCTCCTCCGTTAAAAAATAAACTGTTTGCAGATGGCAAGGAGAAAGGAAGGGAGGTAATGGAAAATTCTTAACTTCGAAACTGACACACTGCTGAGGACTGCAAGAGCCAGAACGGAGCTAGGATCTTACTTAGCATGCAGCACCAACTTCAGGTTTTTATCTGAGCTGATTTTCCCCAAACTGCAATGTCTCAGAACAATAGTGTATGGTGTGTGTCATGCAAGGTTGATTCTGCAAGATTTTCAAAGTAATATTTGCAGACACTACACAGACAGAGCAAATATTAAGATCATAAACGGTCGGCATTTAGCTCAAATCTTGTTGTTGTTTTTTCTTTTTAGGAAGTATATAATAAATAATGAAGTTATCAGCAATAGAGAAGTAGTGGTTCCTGGCTCTTCTTGAAAGAGAGGATTTTCAATTTTTAATTGAATAATTCCATTTTTTTAATGGAATAAAAAATGTTCGTATTAAAAAAGAACTTTAAACAATAATGTAGGTCAGAACCAGGGTCATTTCGGAAATGTCTTTTAGAAGATGCATTACAAGCACTGCGTTGATAAAATACATTGATTCAACACCTTTATAGCTTCTTGGGCTTTACTTTTGTAACTCGATTCACAGTTTAGGAGTTGGTGAATTGCGTTAATAATGTCCCCAGGGCCTTCAAAATCTATGCAGTTGAGGTAGTCCAGATTTCCAGACATGGGTCTGGTTGGATTAACCAAGAAATAAAAATAAGTAAGTAAATAAATAAAAGAAAAAAGTAGCCCTGCAATAATTGGTGCTATTCAAGATGTTATAGTGCCTAAAGGAAGCTTTAGTTCTGCCATGGCCACTTGCCATTGTTGAAAATGTTTTGTGTTGATTCTTTATCTGGATTTCACTGATGGTGTGCTGTGAAACAGTCACCTCACAATCACTTCCAGGAGGAAACTGAGTAACTGAACCAGGACCCCAACACTCTCTTCTTCCTACAACCCAATTACAAGGATGGTTTATTGTGTCACAATGCCGATTCTCGAATCCCGTGCCTTAGAAAATGGCACCAGAAATGATTTGTAAATATCTTGATGCAATAGTACACATAAACTACTGATTAACTTGTTAGTCTAGTCATTGCTGCTAGATATGGAAATGAAAATAAATATCTATAGTTTAGATTTTAGTACTTTAGGAAACTTTTTTCCAAAATTCTTTTTTTCATCAAATCAATTGTGACTCACAAAAATGCTATAAACACAGGGTGGACATGCTCCTTAGGGTTCCTAAAGCTGTAAATCTTTATGACAGCTTCATCATTCTCTTATAGAGCATTCAGTGGGTTCAAACCACCAACCTTTTTGTTAGCAATGGACCATTTTAACCATGGCTGTACCAGGGCCTCGCTGTCATACCTCCAGTTCATAGACATTAAAAAGGTGCCATATTTAAAATGTTGGCTTCCCACAGACTCTGCTGATTGTTTGCTATTAAGATTCCTTTTTTCCTTTTAGATGATCAAAACTCTTTAGAGGTCTGATGTGATTTTTTAAAAAAATAAATAAAAAGATTGTAGCAATTAATTTTATCCAGAAATCTTCTTAAAGTGCTGTTAAAAGTATAGCAATTTTCTGCTTCACACTGCTAGCAAAGTAATTAGTTCTATAAAACACTTTAGAAATTGGGGGTGGGGTGGAATACTCACACATATTCATAAAGAGTAGCAGAAATGACCAAAAGTCGAAAACAGTTCAAAGCAAAATTGTTAATGAGCTGTCTGAGTTACACGAACATTATAAGTGCAATTAACTAGAAGCCAATAAAAATAATCAATGACAGGGGGCAGCCCTCTGGTACCAAGTGCCTTTACAAAGACATGTCTGTGAAAGAGCAGAGTGATGGGGGAAAAACTCCCAAATCCCCTTTTATCTAAGGGAACACGTCTATTTTACATAAGTAGAAACGAAAATGATTTTCATGCACTCTTTCTGAAGCTCAGTCCACAGTTGACATTCAAGAGCTGTCTGTGCGACTAGAGAAGTTTGGGCTCTTGGCTTTGCGTCTCTCCCCACCCCCACCCCTTTCCTCCCAGGAATGTTGGAAGCAGCCACAATCAAGGGAAGGTAGGAGTTTAGATTTCAAAATGCAAGATACCACATTTCAGTGCAAACTACTCCTACATTAACACTTTATCAGTGTGTCAGGATGAGGTTTTTATCTCCTTGCAGGGACGGGAGGGGCGATGGGGGGGCCTCACTAAGATCGCCCTCCTTAAGTCTACAGGGAAAGATTGTGGGTGTTTCTCCCTAGCCTCAGTGCATCCTGTTGAAGGTCGTGATCGTCCCCAGGGAGCACGGGAGTTGTGAAAAATAACGCACAACTGGCCACCAGAATAATTCATTCCCTCCACCTTCTCGTTAGCACCTCCCACTTCTTCTCTTTTTTATAGCCGTCCTTTCTCTCAGCAAATCTCAGGTTACTTGGCTGGGAGTTGTCAGACCTCCAGTTTCTGTCCTGCCCTCAGCCTCCAATCCTTAAGAGACATCCAGCCCCAGCAATTGGATTGGGCAGCCCGTCTTGACACACCACTGTGCTGAGTGCTTGAGGACGTGTTTCAACAGATGGTTGGGGTTAGTGTGTGTCATCACATTCGAGTGGGGATTAAGAGAAGGAAGGCTGCCTCGCCTGAGCTGTGTGGTCTTCTCCAAGTGAGAGTTGCAGGCAATACAGCTACTTTGCTTTGGGGAGAAGAGGAGGAATTCATTTTCTGCAGCCAGAAGAAAAGCAGTTTGTTCAGGTAAAGTAAAAGACGTTGAATGCTTTTCTCTCCCTGCTCCCTCTTTAACATACTTTTGAATGGAATGCTAGCGCAGCACACTTGTCAAAGCCAGTTGTTGCTGTCCTATCAATGCTGCCATTGTACGCCTGACAGATAACACTGAACGGAGCTTGATGCTTGCTGTCTATAGAGCTTGATGCTCGGCTGTCTATGCCTTCTTGCCTTGCTTTTGAAGGTGTAGTTAGGAAAATGTCTTTTGGAGCCCTGTTTGTCCCCTTGAATATCCCCCCCTCTCTACTCAAAACAAGGCTATAAGGTGTTCATAAACATGAATAAGGCCAGGAGAGCATTTCAAAATCCACTTCAAACTGTTGCATTTTACGCCCCTATTTATAAAGATTTTTATACAAGTCTCTTAGTGCATTGCTCTCAGAGATAGACGTGGTTTTTCAAATGATTGTTTGCAGACTGTCTGTATGGTCTGCAAAGGGTTTGTTGAAAATTGGAGACTTAGGTTAGGAAGTTTGAAAAGCTCACAAATAGGCTCCCCTCTGAGGCAAATGGGAGTAGAAAGATGGGCTTTAAAGCAAAACTGCTAAGAGCTGGAAGAAAAGCGAGAAAGGAGGAAATAGGGAAACGCTCCTTGACGTACCCCTTCTGCAGCTGCAGGAGGAGCAGATGGAGGTAATTCATTTGCAGATCTGTTTGCGAAAGTTTTACAAGTCATTGAAAACTAAAGTAGCATCCTTGTAATGGATCATTAAAGCCACCGCATTTATAGGTTCTAAGCAGACGACCTGAAGTGTTAATTAAATGTAAATAGATTTTGTGACTTGGTTATAAACAACCAAAAGCAGAGTTTTAATGATGATTTACTCATTGGAAATTAATGGTCACTTGGAATCTAAGGAACATAAAGTGAGTTGTCATCAGATAAATGCTTAGCCATTAACTTAACCACTCTGCTAAAAGACCTCACCGTTCACTATTAAGTTGAACCGGCACAGAACAATGAAGTTTATATGTTATGTTTGATTAGTGTTGTAAAACGGGCTCTCCAAACTAATGCCATATTTTTACATGGCTCCAAAGGAGGAAACACTTCAGTTTTTAGATTTTTCATCTAGCTAGGTGAGGTTCTGCATTGGACATTCTGACAGACTGACAGTGTGCATAGGAACTTGTGCTAGAGAATTCTTGGTCTTACCAGAAGTGCCCATTTGGTAGAGAAACAACACTGGTCTCACCTTTTGCAGGTGAGAGATTTCAGGAATCATACTGTGTATGAGCTCTTCTGAATAAGATCTGTTACTAGGTTAAATAACAGGATTTCTGGCTAGTGCTTTGTGATTTTCATATTCTACTTCATAAAGATGCCTATAAAATATTGTTTCAAATCTAGTGTATATCTATTTCCCTCCAGCCAATTGATTTTAAATCCCATTTTGAGAAAGTCAATTTTAAAACAATTTGTTAGTATGGTGTTTGTTGATAGTCTATCTGGACTTAGTCTCAGAAATCTTCAGAGAAAATACACTTTCAATAGTAATACCCAGTGAGACAATTCTGAGTATTATATCTGCTTCTCAAAGTTGCATAACCAAAATAGGTCTAGGTTCGTAATCTGAAGACTTTTGGAATTCCACTCATTCCATTTTGGCTTTACAGTCGAACTGAAGTTTAAATGAATAAATAAAAGCAAAAAGACAAACTAACATCTCATGTTGTGTCAGGACCAGACCTCATGAATTCCTTGTATGATGGGACTTAATGTCCAAATCCATTTTCCACATTCACGGGACTATTTCAGGAGAAAGTAAAGCCTCTTCTCATAAATTGAATTTTCTTCCACTTGAGGTAGACTGATGGCATTCCAGCAGTAACAAGGTGCTGCTTGGCAACACAGCATATAACTTCACAGACTGCTCCTAATATTGCTTCTCCAGGAGTTGGATGATATGCAAGAATCTCACGCACACACACACATACATATACTCATACAAAAATCAATGACAGAATGGAAAGAGGAAAGGCAGAGTTGAAAAATAAGAAATTCACCCTCTGAAAAGATAAAGTTGTATGTGTGTTTTGTTTGTTTTCAGCCCCTTTAGAGGCTAAGTTAATATGAAGTTACTCAGTGAACCAAAAGGGCCTGTTAAAAGACAATGCCACCGGGCAATCCCCGTTTCTTGTCAAAATCAGAATCTCCTGTTCCAGATGGTGAACATTCGGAGACATATTTACGGTGACTTCTACATACCTCCGTTTGACATTTGGTTTCTTCTTGACAGTACTTGAGCTGGTCACACACATGACGTTCCCATCAGTTTTTAACAGCTGGGAAAGTGTTTGAGTACACAGGCTCTCCTTTCTAGCCAAGTTAAAAATAATTGGGGTGGGATGCAGGATCTCAGTTTGCACTGTTGATATATCCTTTGCTGCCTAGACATCCATTAGGGTGATGAACTTTGGAGGAGAAAAAAAAATAAAAAAGGGAACCATCAGAAAGTTTGATTCAGAAAATGACAGTAATCATTTTTATGATGGAGTGTCATGCCAAAATACACCAAGCCAGGTATTGATTGTTTGTTCCACTGAACTTGTGGTGTATTATGAGTAAGGTCTTTCATCAAGAAACTAAAAAGGTTCTTTCTGCCTGCTTTCTTCAAAAGAAATTTGTGTGACTCCAAGCAGATTGTCCTGGTCATTTCCATTATAATAGCAAGAGACGAGTGGCAAATGTGCATAAGGCTGAGGACATTTGCCATTTCCTTCCGTAACTATCTACATAGGAATGGGTGGGAGTTCTTTGTGTTTGGGATTTAAAATGGGGTTATTGTTGTTGTTGTTGTTGTTGATTGCTTTCCAGTCGCAGCACTCATAGAGACCCTATGAACAAAAGAAAAGGCCTGAATGAAGCCCCTCTAAAACTTTCAATATTTGTCAAAGTTCATAGAGTTTCCTGAGGCATGTTACTTAGAAAGTGGATGCCACTCCTGCTTCCAAAAAACAGATAAGCTGATTAAAAAAAAAAACAAACAAAAAAACACAACAAGCAAATCAAAAGGGGGAAAAAGTACTGCTGTACAAATCCATACTGAATCATAGTATAAAATGTAATAGTATTAATAAAATGTAATAAATATTACAATCAGTGGGTCAGGCCAGGGCATCTGGTTCTTTTGGGGTAGGGGTGGCAAACAAAAGGAGCTTCATGTTTTTAAGTACTGGACTTAAGTCAATTAGAGTTTTTATCATATCTATTGACACTGAGGAAAAAGAATGTGTGTGAAATTAATTCTGTGGTTATATGGCAAATTCTCAACTGTTGATTCAATCCATGGTGAAGGTTAGAAGGAGATAACTGGAAGAAGATATTTTGTGGGGGGAAAACCCCATTCTAAACTATATTTCTTATTTAAAACTTCTCCAGTCTGCCTGGTAGAGATCTTAAAATGCTAGAGACTAAGTAAATTAGTCCATTAGTATTTCTTCTACTTAATATCCTCCTCTTCCTCCATTTCTACTCTATCATCAATTTCTTCATTCTTATAAGGTCCCCCACTTTTGGCCCATGGCTACCTTTCCTGTGCAGTGACTTTCACACTGGGGTCATTACCACAACTTCCTAACCGGTCCGCGTGCCTCATTTCCTTCTGCCCACCACTTCCAGACTGAGCTTCTTGACAACAGTCTTTTTCCATCAAAGTATTTCTTGGCTGAGAACTAGCAAATAGATCCTCATTACTCAGAGGGTGAAGTTCCAACTTCTCAGTCTGTCTTATTTGTCCACTCTTATTTGGCCTTGGCTTTTCCACTATTTCTCATTGAATTCCTACAATATCCAAAGTCGACTTTTCCCTACAGTTGAGGTGATTAGTTCAGTGTACCCCTTGCTAGTCTTTTCTTCCACACCTAATCACTCTTGTTGGCTAAAGTATTGGTATAATGAGAGGTAATTTTCATGTGTGAGATTCTGTTCCTTTGCCTTTTAAAACCTAGGTGTAGCATACTCTTTACATCTCTAGCCCCATTCTTTAAAGTTTCAGCTTAAGGATTGCCTTCTCTGCTACCACATCTCCTGGTAATGTTTTCCTTCCCTTGATGATTTATTATCAATAGATGACCCTTAGCACAACTGACTAATTCCCTCCCCAAACCCGCTTTCTGATTTGCCTTTTATCTTTAGACTCCCCAGGTAAAGGGTGACCCTCTAGGACAGAGATATTGGCCTGGTGTACTTTTTGCCCTCCAGAAGGCTAAATAAATGTGTAAATAAATCACTTAGACGCTTAAGTACTTCTTTCTGAGTAACTCCACTTTAAAGTCATTAACCAATTCTAGTAAGTAGTCTTTCCACCTGTGAAAAGAGTGGGGGGAAAAATGATTCAACTGAATTGGTTTTAATTTGAAGAGATCTCAGAAAAAAAAAATGACAAATGGAATGTGAAACTACTGACCCAAATTAAGTTTGAATATTATTGAAAAACCTTATCTATTTTAACTTTCTATAATGATGATAGATTACATCTAGCTATAATCGATTAGTGCTCCTCTATCATTTAAAGGCGCGTTGGTGGCCCAAGGGGCGAGAATCTGTGCTGTAATCCCAAAGCCATGTACTTCAAAGTCACCAGCTGCTCAGCAGCAGAAGGATGGCCAGTCTCCTCCCATGCAATTTACTACTTCTAAAAACCTGCTGGAGTGTCAGCTATGAGTTGATTCTGCACATCACAGCAATCACTTGAAAGTCTGATTTCAATTTGGGAAGTGGGGAAAATGGAGACTCTTAGGCACAACCTCTTGTTAGCTATATGGGCAAGTGATTGAATCGTTCTGAGTTTCAACTCCCTCCTCTGCAAAACACAGATAAGAACATCTACCTTGGGAATGTTGATGGAGATGCATAAAGCACCTAGCTGAGTGCATATCCAATATCAAGTGGTCAGTAAGTCGAGAGAAGATTGATAGGTGCATAGCAAATATAGATAGATAGATCTAAGATGCATGGA